CTTCTAACGCACCCATGGCCCCTGTCAACAGCATCCACCACCAACTCTTGGGCTATTCCACACAAATAGTTGGATTTGACCATTTCTTATCTAATGCACCCATGGCCCCAAATTGTGGACAACAATTCTGTAGCAACGGTATATGAACTATGAACCCTCAGTTTCACAGTCTGGCAAGCTAAGTATTTTTCCAAATAATTCAACTAAAACTAGCAACTCTAACAGATCTACATAATATTTTATATAACAAATACATAAATATAATTATGGAGACATTAAGAAGACAGGACTTCCAAGTAACAGGAACACAAAACCAAGCTTGGATTGACTAGTGTAATATCAAAAAGATTACATGTTCTTCATAGACATTCACTGCCAAATATTACGTGTCACTACTTTAGTCAGCAATTTTTATCACATTTCATGTGTATTTGTTACTCTGTACTAACCTTCACTATCTGGATTTTTACATTTTTAGGATTACATTTAAAACTATCAACTTTAGAAAGAAGCAACGATTAATCACAAGTCTTTGAAACAACTTGTTTTGTTCCTTGTAATTATTTCCTCAATAAATATTTATTGCATTAATCTAAAATATTACTTTACATACAAGAACAAAATCTTCTGTATTAAATATACAGAATACGATTACAACAAGAACATGAAGTTTCAAAATAAGTTTGTCATCAGATACTCGAGAGAAAAACTATGTCTGTCTGTACTTATCACACCAGCAAGAATTATCAGACTTTAATATGTATAGAACATACATGGAATGCATTTAAAACAAGCAACCTATAAAAATTTATAGCACTGTTTCACTTATGAAAATTTATATTTTATAAGTTTATATTTTCAGTGACTTTACACCTGAAATTTAGTGAAGTTGGTTCAAGGTTTACAGATTAAATCAAATTTCAATATTCTTGTATAAAAAGTAATTTACTTTACACCTCAAGGGCAAGTACAGATAAATTTTTGATTTCTTCTTCACTGAATATGTATTCCAAACAAAGTAATATGGAATAAATAAGAAAAAATATACTTTTGGTGAAAAAATGTGTCATTGAAACTGCAACAAAATATTAGAAGAAACAAGTTACATAAATATTGAGGGAATATGTAGAGTGGAAGTGTGGAATATAAGACTCTGTAAGTACCAGCCATGGTGAGGTCTTGGTAGAACTACGAAAGAAAGAAAGTGTTGGAACACATAAGTTTCACTTAATTACACTGTAAAATATAAACCATTTAAGTCTGTTCCACAAGTGTTTTCAGTACAGAAGATGAACTATGAACCCATGGTCAGCTAGCTGCAGTACAACAATACAAGTAAGAGTAATCAAACAAACAACAGACGAGATTGCTGAACGTTCTCTTCACCAGCTTTCACTCGGCTAAGACGTTCACCAGAGCCATCACTGATATACCAGCACCTATGCACATAAACTGTTTCAAGGACTCCCTGAAATGAACAAAAACTAACATTTCAAACTAGTTTTCATAAATAATTTATGCAACAGATTCTCAGACAAAACTACTTTTAAAACTTCAATAACACTCTTCCATCATTTAGTTCACATACTAAATGAAACAATTCAAGTTCATTATGCAAAAACCCTGAGTGCCAATTGATCACAAAACAAGGAATAATTTTTAATCTTCTTTGATGTTTACCGTAAATACAAACTTGGATAGTTTACAAAAAAAAGGGGGAGTGGGGTGGAAAATATCCATGTGGTGTAAAGTCTGGTCTTTAAAATATTTATTTTTTGCACAAACATTAAATCTGTATCAGCATTTTTCAGCCAAAATGACACCTTATGTGGCCTATGAATTGAGTGGCCAGGTCAAGAACCTATGGCTGTAGCTAGCTATGTGGTCTGGACCGTGATTAAAATTTGAAACTAAATGTAGTATAATATTTAATTTTACTCCCATATGGAAAAGGTATACAATATGTGTTGTTCATGTTGGGACTTCAGGTAACTTTTCACTCTAGCTACAAACATGCAAGAACCACTAAGATTTGGGGAGAGCAATTTCTAATTTAGAACTGATGAACAGAATGAGAGAGAAATCAGTCTTGCATCTATCCTTAATAAACAAAAGGTTTGACTTTATAGTTTTAACACCCTCACAGTTGAACCCATGCAGCATGGTCAGTGGCTTTAACCATTGAACCTTACCACCCACAGATCAATACACTATCTACTCAAAAACTTAAAACAACAAACAAATTAGTATAAAGAATTACAATAAAATATATATACTTCCTCAGAGTCAAATGTAATGTGCTAATACACCATTATACTTAAACAAACACCAACTAGCCTAAACAAGGTAAAACCACAAATATTATCAGACACTACTCAATAAAATATATATATACTTCCTCAGAGTGAAATGTAATGTGCTAATACACCATTATATTTAAATAAACACCAACTAGCCTAAACAAGGTAAAACCACAAATATTATCAGACACTACTCAATAAAATATATATACTTCCTCAGAGTGAAATGTAATGTGCTAATACACCATTATATTTAAATAAACACCAACTAGCCTAAACAAAGTAAAACCACAAATATTATCAGACACTATTCAATAATATATATATACTTCCTCAGAGTGAAATGTAATGTGCTAATACAGCATTATATTTAAATAAACACCAACTAGCCTAAACAAGGTAAAAACACAAATATTATCAGACACTACTCAATAAAATATATACTTCCTCAGAGTGAAATGTAATGTGTTAATACAGCATTATATTTAAATAAACACCAACTAGCCTAAACAAGGTAAAACCACAAATATTATCAGACACTACTCAATAAAATATATATACTTCC